CTGCCAGCACCCCCTTTATGCCACCACCTCCCCAGGAGCAGGGCCGGTGGGTGGGCAAGGTCAGAGGCACTTGCCTCTTTCCCCCCTCCCCCCCACCGCTCCATCCCCGCCATCATAGCAGCCTGCTGCCTCCTGTCTGTAACGATCTTGAAGCACTCTGATTGGCTGTTTCAGTAACCAGAGCGCTCCAAGAGCATTACAGACAGACAGACTAAGCCCTTTTATAATTATTTTTTAATTGGTCCAATCGCATAGCTTGGATGGAGTTAGACAAGCTTTCAAATGCAAGACGGATCTTTTTAGCTCTCTCTAAGGTAAGGTTTAAAAAAAATTGGATACCTAAACAGTGAGTTTTTCCAGGGTTTAAGCTTTCATTTAGCTAAATATCTTGTTTCAATGCAAACTGATGCAGTGTTAACTATAGACAGGTGGTTGCAGTGCCTTCGCTGCTGTCCAAAACTTTCTCAGCAGCAGCAGATTGAAATTGTCTATATACGTTCGGTAGTTTTCCAGTTGCTACTTAAAATCTTTTCCAGTTGCTACTTAAAATCTTTTCCAAAAGTGGAGTGGTCAAGAGTGAGGTAAGTTTAACTTTGCTACTTGGGGAAATTGATGGGCACAAAAGTTGCTGTGCCCAGGTCACCTACAGTCTTTATTATTAGCTCCTGGATAGTAAGTAGTTGAGTGGTAATTTTTCCCTCACTCTGACAGACTGTACGTATTATGATTTGACTAATACCAGCAATTATTCAACAGTCAGTATTACAAAATGTACCTTTAGTTTTATACTGGTTAATAAAATAGACTGTACTACTGTATATTTTGTCATGGAACAACTTGACCCTGGTTGCATTCTGTAGATGTCATCCTCTGCATATTGGCTCAGCTTATTGAACTGGTAGCTTTTCACTTTATTTTATATTATTCTAATGGCTAATAGTGAATGTGGTCCATGAGACTAAGGGCTGTAAATGCCCACTTCAGGTTTATGCAAGTATCAAATAATTTTTCAGTTGCAAACATTGCTGCCCTGACACAAAACTTATACAGGCAAATATTTATTTAAGATGTTCTGCTGAATGAAGGGCTCATAGGTTTGAGATATTAAAGCCTTGAAGTAATGAAAAGTAGACTTAATTTTCATCTCTGTTCTTAATCACAGTTCTTTTGGCTGAGGGAAAGAATGGGTCCATGGGAGAGCTCTCATTTTCTGATGTTGGTGAGAAATTGTGCTTGACTTTAAATATTTTTGGTGTTTAGCTTAAAGTAGTTTTTGGGTTTGACTTGCATATTTTGACTGATGTGCCATGAAAATTGCAATGAGTAATTTGCATGAAATTAGAATACTTATGCTTACAAATCTCTTCTACAGGTTTCTTCTGGTAGCTTCTGGGTACCATATTTTCATAGCAAAACAGTTTTTTTGCTCTGTTTGTCTTCTGAGTTTACAGCTTCACTGTGACTGTTCCATGTCCCTTCAAATATGCATCAGGCTTCCTCTCAGTTGTTTAATTCCCTAACCTAGGTACATTGGCACAAGTATGTAGATATGTTAAGAGACAGTGGTCAGTGAAAACAAGTCTTTAGCATTGATAATGATGAAATTGGGATTGGGGGTAAAGTAGGGATGGAAGCGATCTCACAAGATCATCTAGTCCAGCCCCCTGCTCAAAACAGGATCATCCCTGACTAAACCATCCCAGCCAAGTCTGCCCAACCTGTTCTTGAAAATTTCCAAGGATGGAGATTCCTCAGCTTGTCTATGTAGCCTATTCCAAAACTCGACCACCCTCATAGAAAGTTCCTCTAGTTTCCAACCTAAATTTCCTCTGCTGCAGCTTGAGGCCATTGTGCCTAGACTTATCGCCTGTGAACACAGAGAAAAGCCCATCTCCATCCCCTCTGTAATTGTCCTTCAGATATTTAAAGACTCTTTTCAACTTCCCTTTGTCTTCTCTTCTCCAAGCTACATAAACCTAGTTCTTTCAGCCTTTCCTCATAGGTTTTGCCTCCCAGGCACCCAGTCATTCCACTTTCCACTGGATTCTTTCCAATCTGTCTACATTCTTCTGGAAGTATGGGTCCCAGAACTGAACACAGTACTCCAGGTGAGGCCTCCCCAGTGCTCAATAGATTGGAAGAAGCTTTTTCCTTGAATTGTAAGCAACACTGATTGGTACAACCCAGTATGCTGGTGGCTTTTTTCAAACAAGTGTATACTCTTGGTTCATACTCGCCTTATGGTCCACTGTAAACACCCCCCACCCCCGGTCCTTTTCTCTAGTACTATAGTCTAGCCAATCATCCCAGCCTGTAATTGTGCATACATTTATTCTGCCCCAACTGCAAGACTTTGCACTTGTCCTTGTTGAATCTCATCTGATTGGAAAAAGTGCTCTTTAAGCAATCTCCCCAGGTCATTCCGGATCCTAACCCTGCCCTCCAGGGTGTCTGCAACTCCATCTAACTTGGTATCATCTGCGGATTTGCTAAGCTTGCACTTAATCCCATCATCAAAATCATTAATGAAGATATGAATCAATAACAGTCCCAGGACAGACCCCTGGGGAACCCCACTTGATCCTGTCTCCCAACTAGACATTGAGCCATTGATAACTCCTCCTTGAGCATGATGACCCAACCAGTATGTATGTACATTACAGTACTTTCATCTAGTCTGTATTTCCTTAGCTTGTTAATGAGAATGTCATGAAAGATGGTGTCAAAAGTCAAGGTATATTATATTTGCTGTTCTTTTTTTTTTTCCCCCCCCCTTCCTCCTCCCATCCACAGAGCCTGTCACCTTATCGGGGAAGGAAATCAGGTTGGTCAGGCATAACTTGCTCTTGGTGAGTCTATACTGGGTGTTCCTGATCACCTTGTTCTCCTTGAGGTGCTTCACAATAGATTCTTTAAGGACCTGCTCCATGATCTTTCTAGGTATGGAGGTCAGGCTGACTGGTCTGTAATTTCCTGGATCTTCCTTCTTCCCTTTTTTTAAAGATGGGGTCTATATTTACCATCTTTTAATCGTGCAGGAGCTCACCCAACCTCTGAGAGTTCTCAGAGAGGATAGCCAATGGCTCTGAATTTGGCTGAGGCAAGTCCTTCAGTACCCTGAGGTTCATCCCATCTGGCCTGCTGACTTGAAAGCGTCTAGCTTAGGGGTGGGCAAAATACAGCCCATGGGCCAGACCTTGTTTGCCAAGGGATTTTCTCTGGCTGATGGTGAGTTCCTCGACCCCAGCCAGTGCGTGGCAGGGGGGCAGTGGGCAGCAGCCTGGGCCATGGCGTATGCGGCTGATTCCACCACCCATGGGTGTGCAGAGGGATGTGGGGGTAGTGTGACAGCTGGATTCTGCTTCTCAGGAGCCCTCATGGTAATGGCTCACTCTGCTTGGTTGCTGTTGCGAGTGTCCCTGCTGCTCGGGCACCCTGGCACATCTGTTCCACATCCACTGCCAGGGGTGCCAGATGGAATGAGTGGGTGGCAAATGGTGTATCCATGGAGACTGTCCCAGGACCCGTGTGAGCAGGGCACATTCAGCTGGACTATGGGGCTGCTTATGGGCAGGGTGTGGTGTCCAGGAGCAGGACAGCCAGGGCTGGGATTGTAGGGTGATGACAGCGCAGGGCCAAAGCCTAGGGGAGAGCCACAATCCACTCCCTCATATGTCCCTGCCTGACAGGGAACTGTTGCTTGTCACAGAGATGTGTGGGGAGCAGATTACAGATCTGTCCTGGGCCCCAGCCCCGCGTTGTTGTTCTGCGATCCTAGCCCCAGCCCTGCTTGGCTATCCTGCTTTTTGGATGCTGCTCCCTGCCTGCCTGCAGCACCGTCCCATCCACCTGGCTGTGCTCACCCTGCCTCAGATCAGTCTGCATGGAGACCGTGCCCGCCACCTCTGGTAGTGAGTATAGGGCAGACGGGCCTGGGGCCAGATAGATAGGATCAATTTGCCAACCCTCTTGCCCCACGCACCCATTCCCAGGCTGTGCCAGCACCGACACCCTCCCCCTGGCCTGCAACAGTTCATCAAAATTCCTTAAGTGGCCCTCCTGCCCAAATAATTTCCCATCCCCCCTCTCAATCTAGCTTCTCTAAGTGATCCCTAATCTGTTTTGCCATTACTAATTGCTGTTGCTTCCCCTTAGTAAGTTTTTATCCAAGTCCCCTAACTCTTCACTTGCCTCTGGGCTTTTGTTTCCATCCCCATTGAACCTAGTTTAAAGCCTTCCTCACTAGGTTAGGAAGCTTGTATGTGAAGATACTCTTCACCCTCTTTGTCAGGTAGACCCTATCTCTTCCCAACAGTCCATCTTCTTGGAATACCACCCAATCATTGAAGAAGCCAAAGTTCTGCTAGTGACACCATCTATGCAGCCATGTGTTGATCTACAGGATGTCTCCCCATAAGCTGGGCCTTTACCCTTGACTGGAAGGATTGATGAGAGCACCACCTGGGCCTCCATCCCCTTCACCCTTGCACCCAGAGTCATGTAGTCAGTTTTGGTCTGCTCAGGGTTGCACCTGGCAATATTATTAGTGCTTACATGGATGGGCAGTATGAGGTGGTAGTCAGAAGTTGGCAATGCCTCAGATTTAGGCTTCTGGTAGGCAGCAGACTTCCCAAGCCAACAGGTGAGTCTGACAGATGGATTCCTTAAAGATCCTTATTTGGTCCTCATAGAGAATCCTTGTATTTCGTTAATTTGTGGAAAGGTGACATAGCCAGACTTTTTTCCTTTTAAATAAAACTAAGCCACCCCAATTTGCCATACTCCGGCGCCATGTTGAGATTATATTCTTTCTCCTGTCCGTTCAGAATGGGTGGGTCTTACTGGCAAACAGCCCTGCTATGGTTTCTAGAAGAGAAAAATAGAACATAGTAGTGGAATGAGTTTTTTCTATAAACACTAAACATGATGAGTCTTGGATCTGATTATTTGCTGTTATGTTTTTTATTTTATAGAAAGAAAAAAAAAAACGGTCCTTGCAGGGACCTAGCAGGAATATGTGGGGAAAATACAGGAGGAGGCAGCACAGGTGACAAACACTAAACACTTCTGGAAAATGCTTTTCACTCTGAAAATGAAGACTCAGTGTGTGTTACTGGCATTTATGGCTTTGGGTTAAGCTTTCTGAGGTGCAAGAACTCATATGGATATTCACTAGAAGTGGGGTTTATAGGAAAACAACCAGCTGCTAGCTTTTTAATGTGATACAATTAACTTAAAAACCACACAGTAGATTTCGCATTCATTATAGTTGATGGCAATCTCAGGTGCAAAAGGAGTGTTGGAATGTTCCCATATATTTTTAAACAATTCTTTGCCTGTATTGCATATAATGCCTTAAATGAAGAGATCTTAGACTTGCATGGCATGGACCACTTTTACTGGAGAGCTGATCCAGACAGCCTTTCCCTGCCCTTCACGCTGCTTCTCTTGTCATTGGTAATTTAGTAGTTATGTGGCTATTACAGTGCTTGCCTACTTGGAAAAATAATATTTGAAATGTATTTAACACACTTTTACTTTTAGCAAGCCCTTTAGATATACAGTGGTTTGGCCTTTGATTATTAAATAGTGAAGTGACTCTGCTTATAATTCTGCTTAATCTGTCACTTTTGCATCCTTGCCTCTTGAACAGTGAAAATGAAGGCAAGCAAAGTTTGGTGTTCAGTGTTTGGACTGTAAATACTTCAGAGAAATTTTAAAAGTGACCTTTCATTGGCATCAGATAATTTTGAAAATGATTGTGTTGGTCTGTGTTTGTTTTTTTAAGAGCTGTCTCTCACCCTTTCTCATTAGGAAACTGGGGGACTGTGGCGTAGACACCCACACAGTCCAATGGGTCGCCAACTGGCTAGAGAGCCGCACCCAGAGGGTGGTAGTGGATGGGTCCTTCTCGGCCTGGAAGGACGTGGGCAGTGGGGTCCCACAGGGCTCGGTCCTCGGGCCCGCCCTGTTCAACATCTTCATCAGTGATTTGGATGAGGGGGTGCAAAGCACCCTGTTCAAATTTGCTGATGACACCAAGATGTGGGGGGATGTGGGCACAATAGAAGGGAGCAACAGGCTACAGTCGGACCTTGACAGGTTATAAGGATGGGTGGAGGAGAACAGGATGGGGTTCAACACAGACAAGTGCAAGGTGATGCACCTGGGGAGGAACAACCAGCACCATACCTACAGGCTGGGGAACTCCCCTCTTGTCAGCACGGAGGTGGAAAAGGATCTTGGAGTCATTATTGACTCCAAGATGAACATGGCTCGGCAGTGTGGGGAGGCGGCTAGGAAGGCCAACTGTACCTTGTCGTGCATCCACAGATGCATTTCAAGCAGGACCAAGGAGGTGATCCTCCCCCTCTATGCGGCACTGGTCAGGCCGCAACTGGAGTACTGTGTCCAGTTCTGGGAGCCGCACTTCAGGAGGGATGTGGACAGCATCGAGAGGGTCCAGAGGAGGGCCACTTGCATGATCAAGGGACAGCAGGGCAGGTCCTATGAGGAAAGGTTACGGGACCTGAACCTGTTCAGCCTCCAGAAGAGAAGGCTGAGGGGGGATCTTGTGGCCTGCTATAAACTAGTCAGGGGGGATCAACAGGCACTGGGGGAGTCCCTGTTCCCCCGAGCGCCGCCAGGAGTGACCAGGAATAATGGTCACAAGCTGGCGGAGGGGAGGGTTAAGTTGGACATCAGGAGGCGCTACTTCACGGTCAGGGCGGCTAGGGTCTGGAACCAGCTTCCAAGTGAGGTGGTGCAGGCTCCCACCCTGGGGGTTTTTAAGAGGAGGTTAGATGACCATCTTGCTGGGGTCGTTTGACCCCCAGTACTCTTTCCTGCCATGGCAGGGGGTCAGACTAGATTGCCATGGCAGGGGGGCGGACTAGATGATCTGCCCAGGTCCCTTCCGCCCCTAGAAACTATGAAACTTGTGCAAAGTTACAGACTAACTTTTGTGCCTCTCTTTTAAACGTACACATTTAAAAACCTCTACTTTCCTAATGTTTGTAAAGTGTGTTGAGATCATTGAATGAAAACTCTACATAAGTACAAAATATCTTTTACAAAAATAAAGGGAATAACATAACGAGAGGAGTACAGAGAAGTGAAGAAGAGCTCTTAATCATGGAGCTGGAAATGCAGAATCTAAAATTCTATTTCATTGGCTTAATCACTGAAACAAGATGAGCTTTCACAATATGAGCATCTTACAGTTTGGTCTTGTCATCACAACAGCAGTGTTTTGATCTCTAATTATAGCTGCTAAAGATGTCTTGGAGGAAGTTGCATTTGTATTTTTAAAGTATGTAAAGTGGTGTCACTTAGTGAGGAATCCCATAGCATTTGAAATTGTATTGTTGTTCTAGCTGTTGATTAGATGCTATTTTGGTTCATGTCATCAATATCATGCTGTCTGGCTTGTTGGGGAATCAATTATATGTCTTTGAAACTGTCTCTTTAACAAAAATCAATTGCAGGTCGATGAAATGAATTTTTAGCTGCAGAAGGGAGTTAAATCTTAGGTTCAGTATTGCTAATAACAGCTTTCAGAAGCAAGCGTTGATTTTAGTATTAGATGCAGCAATGCCTTTTATTTTTAAAATGTGCCACTGTTACTTTTTAGTGTATGTAGTTCTTCTTTCATTCTTTAAAAACTAACAATGACAAAATTAGCCTTTTGACTTTTTTTCTCTTAACCTAGAAAAAATAATTTCAGACTTGATCAGTTTCTGTGAGCTGCACCCAATTTTCACAGCTGGAGTATGAAGTAGCTTATAGAAATGAATTCCCTTGGTACAAGAATTACAAGTGTACAATAATAGTTTGTAGAGTTAGGTGATGTTAACAGTTTTGGCAGTTGTTAGTGGCTTTAAATTTAGAGCAGATGTAATATTTTAACAATGGCTGGTACCAAACAATCCATTTTTAATTTTATTTGATGTTTTAATATAGCATTTATTAGGTTTTATAGCCAGTGGTTTCCTTTTTAGAGTTGGCCTTGGGTCCAGACTACTCTGGAAGTGACAACCTTTTCGTCCCTATTATTTCTGAAATAAGATTGCTGCAGTTATTAGTCTTGAGGATCCTGTGTTAAATCTTCGATATCCACTTTATAGGGGAAAAAATGTTGCGAATGTTATAGTAAATTGTAGTGCTTTTGAAACCCAGTCAGCCTCCACTTCTGCAAGCTGAAAATATGGTCTTTGCTGGGGGTCCTTGAGGTCTTGCATCGTTTTTCAGAAATGTGGATGGATAGATTACCATGGTATAATTAAACAGGGTTTAGGATTACCCAGAAATATGCCAGTAGCTTCCCTGGATAAAAGAAGCAGTTAACAATCACATTTGAACATTCTCAAGTATCTTTGGATATTGAGGCTCTTTATTTAGTACTTGAACACAAAGTATTTGAAATTAAATTTAGAAATAGTAATTCACTCAGTCTGCATACTAGAACGAGTCTACTTGCTGCAAAATAGGTTTCCCAGTCTCATAACTGCCTGCAGCAGTCAAATGGAATGTTTATAGCACTTGTAAATTTTCTTAGGATTTTTTAATTATTTTATTTCTCCTCTGCTTATTTAGTTGGATTATAGTTATTGGAAGTGTAATGTTTTAGCTCTTGTTATCCAGTTCTCTTCTGTTGGTGTCTTCTGTGAGTAGAGTAGCTGCTTCTCTTTTGGATGCCGGATCCATCTCTGCTTTCATTGTTTTTTCCTGTATACCACATCCTCAAATGTATACTAGATTTTATAAAAAAGAGTTGGACACTACTATTATTGTTCACTTCTCTACTTAACCAAGAGATTCATGGCTGTAGACCAGGAGTGGGCAAAATGCGACCCGGGGGCCAGATGCAGCCCACCAGGCCATTCTATCCGGCCCGCGGGGCCCCTAAAAAATTTTGAAAATTAATATTAATCTGCCCTGAGCTGCCTGTCATGCGGCCCTTGATGGCTTGCCAAAATTTGGCAAGCGGCACTCTGCCCAAAATAATTGCCCGCCCCTTCTCTAGACTAGTTAAAATATGGTGATAGAACATATGGATCATCAAAGGATTTCCTTTGGGATGAAGCATAATCAGCTGTAGTCTGAAGTTCTTGTTTCTATCTGATGCTGGTCTCTGGCACTGGTTGAATGCAATGAACATTAATTTATATGGATCAAACTAAATTAATTGCTCTTCGTTGTCAAAATATCACATACTATTGAAAAGCTGAGCAGTAAGAGATCTAATTGCATCAGCTCAAATCTCCCATGATCCTACTCTTTCTTGTAATATCTTCTACTTTGACTGAAATGTCTGAAAAGTCCATGGAAACTTACAGGTGCTAGAAGGAGGGTAAGTTAGTGGTTAGAACAGAAACCTTTGTATGTTCCCAACTCTGCCACTGTTTTACTGTGCAAGTTATTTAATCACGGCTTCATTTTTACCATCTGTAAAATGAAGATTTGTGCCTGCCTGGTGTATAACGAGGCTTGGTTCTTTGACAATACATTGTTTTGAGGTATTTGGATGGAAGGTAAAGTTGTGAAGAGGTAAGCTCTTTCATTTGGGAAATCTGAATATCTCTGAAATCAGAACTGCCTGTGGTGCAACATTGATCTACTGACATGTCCTGGATTTCTGTTCCTATAAGAATGCTTGTGTGGAAGGAAGCATGCACTGTTGAGGAAGTCTTTCTCGGTCATAACAGTTGCTGTGCAATTAGAAGTGTAAGAACTGCCCACATTGACACATCTGCAGGTCTCAAGAGGTTTTTTAGCACTCCCATGATGAATTTAGGATTCCATTATTATCCATTATCTAGTGCTACAGTATCTCCTTTTACTATTAGTGTTCTCGTGTGAGTAATTCAGGAAAAACCAGAGAGATCTACCAAGTGAATAATGAGCACTTCCTCATCTGCTCAAATGACTTACAAGGGCAGATTCAAATAGTAAAGGAAGAGACAAAGAAGTATGCCATTTTATAGTAAACCACTCTGTGCTTTCTGTGAGAGAGATTTTCAGGACATGGCAGTAGATCAGTCTTGT